GCATACGTAACACATGTCCTAACCATCTCAGTCGATGTAATTTCACAGTTTCGTCGACTGACTCCCCCTCCTTACCTAGCACTCGACGCCTAGCCTCATTATTGCTCACCCTACCATACCACTTCACGCGAGAAACAGAACGCAGGCACCTATGATCGAACACAGCTAATCTTTTGATGTCTTCTGCTCTCAATGGCCAGGTCTCACAGCCATAAAGGAGGACGGAGCGGACTGTTGAGCAGTACACACGCCCTTTGGTCGATAGTCGGATATCACGTCTACGCCAGAGACGGCGTGAACTGGCATATGCGAACCTAGCCCTCTGTATTCGTGCTGAGATTTCGTCGGAGATCAACCAGTTGGGGCTGATGGTACTTCCCAAGTAATACTATCTGCTGATCTTTCCTGGTCGTCTCATATCTTGGCGATTTCTAAGAAAATATTCCGTCCTACCTTCTACATCAAGAAGTTAAAACATTCTGGTATAACCCAACCCTTACTCCTACAGTTCGTTAACTCTCGCATTCTTCCTTTTATTCTCTATTGCTCCGCCTTAGTTTTTCCCGGGCTACTGAAGAAAGACTGTAACATATTACGCAGGATGTTAAAGGTTGTCAGCAGGGTAAGCAACTTGCCACTGAACCATCTTGTTAATATTCTGCTTGACAGGCATATGGACTCATGTCAAAAATCCATTTTATCTAACTCACACCACCCTTTTTACTCACAACTCTTCCCTTGCATCTCATCAGGCAAAACCAGAGGCCTATGTAGAAAACTATATGCTCACACCAGCAAGTACAAAAACCCAACCATACCCTAGTTAGCCCGTGTTCTGTGCGCTAAAGAAAGCATTAGGCGTGACACCTATAATTCATTAAATGGTCAGTAGACCAACTGGACCTTGTCTTTCCAACTCGTATCATTTATAGGTACAACATTTTATTTCTTTCTTTTCCTTTTCTCTCTCGATCTCTTTTCCTTTATGTCCTGCTTTGTTTCTTTTTTCCGCTTACGAAAGTAAATATGATAGCACCTAACTTTCTAACACCTTCAAACACTCTGTTCAAATTTGGCTTTTCTACCGACATGCCAATATGTTGTTGTCATAATGAAATGAGAGTTCCTTAATCTATGTACAATTCTATTTATTGATAATGTACTAACTGGATGCAATACTGTAGTAAAAATGCTGAGAATTCCATCATGTACCACAAATACTGTTTTGGAATTAAGCAAATTATTATCATAATTTTCATAGTCGATCTTTTGTCCCGTTTCTATCGAATGCAGTATAATCGCTGATCTGTTTTCTAGCTTCTCTAAGTCTGCAGAGGTCTTCGGAAACTCCTTTGGACATTGTTTATACTCTTTCACTCTTATATTTACCTGTCTGGAAGGTTCTCCTACATATACGGTGTCACAGTTCCCACAATTGATCTGGTACACACAATCCTGTTGGTTGTCTTCTATTTATTTTATCTTTAACCTTCAACAGTGATGAGCGTAAGGTGTTAGTTAGTTGCTCCAAAATACACTCTTACGTCATCATCATAAAGGATTCGCTTTATCCCATCCGATGTTTCTTGGCGGTAAGGGATCATCACTGTACTAACCCAAATCTTAGCAGCAGGTTTCCATCCATCCTTATCTTCACATTTCAAATATCTTTTTATGAAGGATTTAAGATAATTATTTGATTCAAGAGTGGATTGAACCAATCTTAGTTCCATTCTAATCTCTTCCTCCTCAGTACCTAGACGTTTGGCTCTGTTAATCACATTCTTCGCTACAGTTACTTTGGTGGTAAAGGGGTATGCTGAATAGTCAGTAGTCTAGGTATCTATCCAAACTTTTCGGCTTTCTCAAAATGTTCATTTTAAATTTACCATTTAGTTTTATTTTTACTAAACACTCCAGGAACGCCAAATCATTCTCGTCGGATTCAACCTCTTTGGAAAACTTTATAGTTTCTGACATATTGTTTATTAAGTGAAAAACTTCATTATTCAACAAACTACGTCTCATTATGACGAAGGTATCATTCACGTGTCTTAACCACATTTTTGGAGGAATAGAGCATCTCATAATTGCATTTGTTTCTAATGGGTGCATAAACAGATTGGCGACTAGCGGAGATACTGGTGATCCCATAGCAATCAATGCCTTCTGTTTGACGGTAATAACCCCCTACCAATCACTATCAACGCGAGGAATTTCAAAGAGGTTACTCCCTTCACTTATCTAGTCAGGCGACATCGTTTCAACTACAGGCGGACAGCATGGATGAGGATTTCAAAGCCAGAATCGGAAGGGCAAGATCAAGACCTACATCAACCTGAAACCAGTTTGGAAACCTTCTGCACTCAGTCCGTATCAAGGACAAGATTCGGATTTTCAACACCAGTATTAAGGCAGTCAGTTCTTCTCTATGCGTCAGAAACTTGGCGTGCACATCACGAAAAGCATCTTTAACAGGCTACGGCAGATTTTTATCAACATCTACCTCCACTGCTTCCATATACAAGATCAGATGGCCAGCAACAGGGAATTAGCAACAAGAAACCCTGGAAAAGTAACTAAACAAGAACCTAATTCGTGGATGGTGACTAGCAGTGTAATCCAGGTTGATGCGCATTCCCTCCTATTTGGGACTCGTCTAACTAAGTGGTGGTCTAGTGAACAACGCTTTAGCGTTTGAAACTATGGCCACTGGGTTCGAGCCTCGATGGGAACATCATCACTCACTGGGGAATGCAGGTACATCCAGTTGGCTGACGATTCCCAAATAGGACGAAATGCGCATCGAGCTGGATTCCACTGCCAGTCACCATCCTACCAGTTAACTTCTTATTACATGCACAGACATCGTCGACGCATCTCCACAAGAAACCAATATGTCTACCTGAGGCCGAGCACTTCGATCCAATCATTCGATGAGAAAATCGAAAATTGAATGAAATAAACAAGACCCTATTGCTCAGGAAATATATTCCGAAGGTAATGGAAATGGATTGAGCATACACTGAAGAGATCTTCGAATGACATCGCGCTCCAGCTAAGCCATCATTCGAGTAGTACCCGAATAAGAAACGACGAGTAGAGTCGTCCGAGGGTAACGTGGAGGAGGAGATCAGAGGATATCACCAATCGTGGGGACACATAAACAGGGTCGCAAAGAATAAGACAGAGTGGAGACGCACCCTCTTTTGAAGCCTTATGTGTCCGACTCGGAACCCGAGGGAACAACAATATTATTAATCAAAGTAAAAAGCCAAGCTTTTGATAAAATTACCTTTCAGGAAAGAATTTTACTTTTTCGTTTCTTGGTTACTGTTGTACAAAAAATATCAATAAATTTTACAAAAATTGTTGAGCTCATCGATACAAAGTTTCGTAGACAGTGCAAAATAAACAGTGAAAACAAAAAAAAATGAATACAGCTCTTTTTCTTAAGTAGAATAAACAGAATTACACATTAATTGTAAATCTTAATCACATTAAATTCTCTGATTTGTAACTGAATTACTGCAACATGACGGGACGAGTTTACTTCCACACGAGCTCATAGAAGCATTCGCATTGGATATAGTATATCGACGGTAGAGATAGCTTGGATCGATTATCTCACGTACACCGAACGTTCCTCTTTCGAGTTCAGTTAATTCGTTTCATCTTCAGACGGAAAGGGTGGGGGTAGAATAAGCTGAATTAAAACCTGAAGCGGTCTGTATGCAACTACGACCAAAACTGACATCATTATTTACAGAAACCATCGAGTTTGATAAAGAAATATCATTAGGAGACTGATGAGAATGTGAATGTATGTAAACATTTGTCACAGGGAGTAAAACAATTGCATTAACTGGTGTCACGATAGAAGGAAGCAGTTGATGAGTTAAGCGAACTGGGCTATTTTGAGGTTCTAGATCACCCTCTAATACAGCTCTAGAAAGCTGCACTGTTCCAGGCTCAAAACAAGACTGAAGAACTTGATATGCCTCAGCTATCTTACCAGCTTCAAGTCTCAAAACTTGTCGAATGCGAGTGACTGACTGAACGGATAGTAACATCCAGCATGTCACGACGTACGGTCAAATCAAGTGCATAAAGTATACACGCAGCCGCCATGTAACTGGGCATGTAGTAACCGAATCTTCAACATGGAAAACTTTAAAGAAGATTCAAAGTGCAACTTCGGAAATTGTCTTGTATCTTCTTTAAAGTTTTCCATGTTGAAGATTGTTACTACATGCCAGTTACATGGCGGCTGCGTGTATACTTTATGCACTTGATTTGACCGTACGTGTAATGCTGGATGTTACTATCCTTCAGTCAGTCACTCGCATTCGACAAGTTTGAGACTTGAAGCTGGTAAGATAGCTGAGCATACAGCTGTGAGTGATCTAGAACCTCAAAATAGCCCAGTTCGCTTAACTCATCAACTGCTTCCTTCTATCGTGACACCAGTTAATGCAATTGTTTTACTCCCTGTGACAAATGTTTACATACATTCACATTCTCATCAGTCTCCTAATGATATTTCTTTATCAAACTCGATGGTTTCTGTAAATAATGATGTCAGTTTTGGTCGTAGTTGCATACAGACCGCTTCAGGTTTTAATTCAGCTTATTCTACCCCCACCCTTTCCGTCTGAAGATGAAACGAATTAACTGAACTCGAAAGAGGAACGTTCGGTGTACGTGAGATAATCGATCCAAGCTATCTCTACCGTCGATATACTATATCCAATGCGAATGCTTCTATGAGCTCGTGTGGAAGTAAACTCGTCCCGTCATGTTGCAGTAATTCAGTTACAAATCAGAGAATTTAATGTGATTAAGATTTACAATTAATGTGTAATTCTGTTTAGTCTACTTAAAAAAAAATTGTTGAAATGCGCACTTGAAGATAGGCAAAGTTCTGAGTAGACAAAATACTCTGAAGAGGAAAGAAGGCGAACAGCATATATCTACATGTATAAATACACAAAATCAACTTATTTTTCTATGGATCCATTGAAGGTACCATTACAACATTGCTCAGAGTCTGTATTCAAACCATTAGTTATCAAAATCTGTCTATAAGTTGAAAATAAGTCTCTAATTAAATAACTTGTCACTTTTGGTTTCATATACTCACAAGACTTTCGACTAGCCTCGTATCGATCAATATAAGCGGTTAGAGTATCCAGCTGCACCACTTTATTCAGTGTACAATGATTGTGTATTAAATAGAATAATAGAAAATCTATACAGAAATGAGTTAAACAAACTTCCCATAGTGAAGAGGGTTGACGATCTGCAATCAACTGGCTGAAGTATGTTAAACAATCACTAGTTATGCTTTTCATCCAATCATTTTTAAGACATTCGTAGACCATCCCCTCTTTTTCTTCACCATTCACCACCATCGCCGCCGCCTCCTCTTCCTTCTCTTTCTCTTCCTCATATCTAGCCATATAGAAATGTACAATCTGACCGATATTTAATAACATTAAACTGCATACCACACCCAGACATGGTGGTGTACTTTCTGATGATGACGATGAAAGAAGGCGTGAAAATGCTTCATACCAACGATTAAGAAACAGCGGTTCTTTTGGAAATAGCCGAAAACTAACAGTTAAACACATTGATGATAAACGCAGACATTCATTTGACAAATAATCATCATCATTTGAAGATGATGATAATGATGATGATGATGCATTTAGAAGAAGATTAATACCAATCCAACACCAAGCAAGTTGTTCAATCTCTTTACCACGTCGTATTTTACAAATTCCAGCTTCACGATGTACCATATTCGTAGCATTTATCCATCGTTTATTTCCAATATTCAATATAATTGAAAAGAATGACTTTTCAGCTGAACGTGAACGATCAATTAACCGTTTTATACACTTTTCTGTGTATATTACAGCTTCCGATGATGATTCTAAACGTAAATGAGCCAGAATTAAAGCTTCTTTAACTTTGTCATAACTTAACAGTAATTCAATTGCTTCGTGAATACGATGTGCACACACCAGTAGGGTAGCAGAGACCAGAGTATCAGGACTAGTGGTTTGCATATCTTTAATCTATCATCTTTGTATTTTTCTGGGGAAAAAAAACAAGAAACACAATCACGATTACACACAGAAAACAGGGTTATTCATCAAACATTTTGTATATTCAAAGTAAAATATTTCATAAATGCACATCATGAACACAACCGATTATCAATAAACGGACAGTCACACAGATTTTCACAAATTTCAGCTTAAAGGAGAGTTACGAATGGATTCTTTTATATATTCTTACGACCTATAAAGCTACACTGGCTGGAACTAACGCTCCCGCAGATCATTTCATGCCAGGAAGAATGTTAGGGTAGCATATAAACCAAAAGAAGTTACCAGTATAGAGTAAGACGTTTTTAGCGAAGTTGTATTAGCCAGTCCCAGTGCATTGATCGCTGACGAAATCTCAGCACAGATAAAGACACCTTGTTTGGCATTTGCCCGTCAACTTAAACCATCTCATGCGTAGACATAATATCCAGCTGGTTACACGACTCTCGTATCTTTAGCTGACTCCATAAGGAGTGGTATTCATTATGTTTAAATTGTAATATGCGATGTGATTAGAAAACGTGCCAACTGTGAGTGGAGTTCAACTTTACACCACTAAGCAATCCAGTTTCGCTGAAAACAAACTGGAACGCGCTACCATTTTCCTGTAAACAGGATACATCCAACCACCTTTCAAAGTCACTTTGCTCTTCCTTTCCTCAGGCAGCATATACACGTATCTTCACAGTCAGTCCCGTAGTTCAGCCACACATGTCAGTCACTGTTTGGCTGCTAAAATCCTTTCCCTCATATAATCTTAACATTCACTCATTCATTCCATCGAATATAAAATACATTGCTCGTCATATCTGTAAGAGTTGTTACTAAGGTGCACATTTAATGTACAATTTACATTCAACGATGATGTCTGCACACAGAAAGACGGGATCGCCACGGACTCTCCCCTTGGCCCACTTTTGGTAGACTACTTTATGGCTAGTTTGGAAAATGGGATCTTAAAATCAACAATGCACAAAATGCTGTTGCACAAAAGGTACGCCGATTACACTTTTATGCTTTGTCATGATGATTCCGACTTAAGTCGTATCTTACAAGCGTTTAACAATTCCAATCCTTCAATTAAATTCACAATGGAAGCAGAAAGTGAATCAAGTATTCCATTTCTGCACGTTGAACTTACAAAAAGAGACAATGGAACTCTGAAAAGATCTATTCACGGAAAACCATTATGGAATGGACAACTGACAAATTTCTACAGTTGGATACCTATCAGCCGAAAAAGAGCTCTCATCATCTCGTTGGCTCACTGTGCCACAAAAATTTGCAGCGGTGACTGTCTAGAAGAAGAGCTTCTATTTCTCAAAAACATCCTGGCTCAAAATGTATACCCGACGCGTTTCGTGGAGAAGAATATGAAACCAAAGCCAAAAAGCGAAGAATGCACCTCATTTCAGTGCCAAAGAAAACACTATGTGTGAATCTGGAATTCAGGGGAGACCTAGCAACAGATATCCTTAAAAGGATATTCCTAAAGACAACCTTTCCTACACCTACTCTAATAGTGATATTCTCCAGCCGCCCACTGCTTGGAAGCGATGTGAAGGACACACAGACTTTCTCATATGACCACTTCAATGTACATATATCAGTTCACCTGCTCGTGTCGAGCTAGGTACATAGGTCGTTCTCTGAGGGTCCCATCAAAACATGTTACAGAGCACTGTTTTACAGCATGGCTGCAAAGAGGACGCACTGGTTCAATCAGGAGCGCCACAATTGAACACCTCGTCAAAACCTGTCACAGCATCTCAACTGACTCATCATTCAGAATCATTTACAAAGTAAATAAAAATCTACCAAAGGCAGTGTGTTTCCGACTCTCTTTTTTACTGCAGAAGCCCTCGCCACATGCCTCAGGGAACCGGAGCTGTATGTTCAAAAGTAACTAGTCCAACCTCCACATTTACCATGAGTGTAGTTCAGTTTTTCTCCTTCGATCCTGTTTTTTTTCATCCCCTTCATTCCGCCTTTTTCTCAGTCACAAAATATTAGTCTTTCAACTTCTTCCCGTGCTCATCCCATTCACACTTTCAGTGGTGAACAAAAACTACTTTTTAATCCTGTATAATCTTGCCTCCAAACCCCTTGTAGCCTATATTCACACCCTTCAACTTTCATATCAAATTAAAATTATTTCTACAGTCATCAAAATATTAATAAAAAAGAAACCAAAAGGAAAAAATCAACATATTTTACACATACATTGTAACTGTTTTCTAATCCTCCTATATAATCTTGTCTCCAAGCCCCTTGTAGCCTATATATTCACACACCTTCAAACTTTCATGTCAAGTTGAAAATTATCATGACGATTAAGCGCCTTCGTGTTACCACGTCGAATTAAATAACAATTGTATCCATGTAAATTTATGCATATAAATGCGATAGTACCTACAGCTGCTTTTGAGAATGAAATCACCTGAGAGGTAGATATCTTTGCTGAACTTCTTGTTCTTTTCTCTCTGATGTCCTCCCGATGGGTATTTTTCACAGCTTGAAATATGAATAAACTAGGCTGTGGATATATAGCAAGAAAGTGAAAATCAAGCTGACCAAATGTAGTTTGGGGGGGGGGCGGGGGTTTGGTTGTATTGTGTTGATGATATGTTGCACTACACTACCAGCCATGCGAAACACAATCTCTGCTCATGTACCCACCCACCCACCTATCCGATACCTTATCTAACTTGTAAATAATGGTAACGGGGCACGGATCAATCGGGTTTAGTTATTTGGAAATATGCTCTGACGAGCAATGTATTTTATATTCGATGGAATGAATGAGTGAATGTTAAGATTATATGAGGGAAAGGATTTTAGCAGCCAAACAGTGACTGACATGTGTGGCTGAACTACGGGACTGACTGTGAAGATACGTGTATATGCTGCCTGAGGAAAGGAAGAGCAAAGTGGCTTTGGAAGGTGGTTGGATGTGTCCTTTTGAAACGAAAATGGAGACTCGGAAGTGATTCGTAGACAAAGTATAAGTTGATGAAGTCATTTCAGTTTCAGTCAGTCTATCTGTCTGTTTTCAACATAGAACTTTGCAAGGATGTGCAACAGTTCGAGTTGCCACTCTCCCTCCATGTAGCACACAAAGCAAGAGAAGAAAGTAAAAAGGAATGCAAAATAGAGACGGTAGACAGGTATACCGGACAAAAGGAATAGGAATATCGAAAAACAATATAGTCACGTTGGAAATTATAAGTCACAAGGAGTGGATGCATCTGCGCCACTCATTGAGGACGATTTTGAGCCATATCACCGATTGTCTTCAGCCATTGGTGTTTACCGTCCCGAGGACCCCAACCACGAAGCCTACATCCTACATCCTACGTGGCTTAAACTAACTGTTTTAGACTTCACTCATTGATGAAGCCATGTTTCCGTTCCACCACCATTGGCTCTTTTCCAACCTGAACAATCCTATGTCAACTAACATTGCCTGTTGTCGAGGAAGGCGATAGTTAGGCATGCATGACTAACACATGTCCTAACTACCTACCTCAGTTGATGTAACTTCACAGCCTCGTCGATTGATTTCCCCTCCCCTTACCTAGCACTCGACGCCTAACCTCGATATTACTCACCCTATTACACCTACCACTTCCCACGGGAGGTACAACGCAGACACCTATGATCAAAGACAGCTAGCCGTGCTTTTCATGCCTTCCACTTTCAATGGCCAGGTCTCACAGCCACAAAGGACAACCGAGCGGACTGTTCAGCAGTACATACATCATTTGGTCGATAGCCAGCCGGATATCACGTCTACACCAGAGACGGCGTAAGCTGGCATATGCGAAACTAGCCCTCTGTATGCGTGCTCAGTTTCAGTCACTTGATTTAGTCTGAGGATTGGTTTGGTCCCACTGAAGTTTTACTATTGAACTTCGTAATTTGCTTTGCTTGTAACTAGAGAAATAATGTCGCCTGTACTTGCTTAGTGTCTTGCTGAAATTCACACATTTCAGAGAAGTTAAACGATGGAAATCTGAAAAGTATAAATACATACTCCTATATGAATGCTCGGATTGTATTTCTCGTTTAAACATGTAATCACTCACCTTTTTACCTAGTAAATCCAATTTCCCACTTCCAGAAGATTCTTCTGGCGAAAACGATATCTGAACTGCATACAACAGCCAAAAAGGCATATAATCTTCTGAAGACATAGTAGATGCCACCGTGACCACATGACCTATCCATAATAATATAATACAATACGCATCCAAATGCACAAGACTCTTAGGTCTTTGTTGAGAATGAAATGACTTCAAGTGAGCAGATGCCTCCATATTCAGATATTTTAAAAGGCATGTACGAGTCATACCAGCTTGTGGGAGTAGAAGTAACAAATCAATTTCCACTTGTTTGTCATTCATTTGTTCAGTTACAAAATTTGAAGCATTTAAAATTTGTGAAAGAAAAGATCCTAGTTGAATGGGTGGAGAGTTATCTAAATCTAATTCACAATTATTATTATTATTAGTAGTAGTAGTATTCATAAAATTGAATAAATTAGGAAAAAGAGCAGGTCTTTTTGTTATATCACCAATACCAGCAGAATTTACTTCCCGAGATGAATTACACTGTAGTGGAATAGACATTTCTTGATGAGAAGTTCCATTAGGTAGTATATCATTCGATTTTATTATTACTTTCTTTTGTTCCAACTCTTTGTCATTCAGTGGTTTAGAAACAGGAAGGGATTCTGTTTCTGTTGGAACAGGTTCCCAACACAAAATATCTCCGTTGGACGGTGCTTCTTGATCATTTACAAGTTTTTTAACATTGCATGGACGATATCGGCGAGTGTGCGGCGGTTGACTGAAGAGTTTTTCAGAGGGTTGCCAACCGAATAAATGACATAATTCACCACCACTGAATGCAAGATCAGGCTCTTGACGACTCCATAGGCAAGCAAAATGACGTAA